CAAACTAGTAGACTTGCGTTGCCTCAGCTGGAAACAACTATACATCAGTGAAACATAATTTGCACAAGGCTGGAGATAAAATTATGTTCCAATTCTCTTATGAGAAGCATGTATTATAAGAGCAGCATAAGGACATGGTGGAATGTTGGAGTGAGGTCCCAAGACTTGATCCATGTAGCAGAACAGTGTGTGTAATCACTCCAGAAGCAAAAGAAATGTCAGTGCACATTCTGCACATGATAGTGAGAAACCAGAAGACCCTGCATTTGGCTGTAACACCATGCCGAGTTAGAAACTGCTGGCTGTGAACACCCCAGTCAGACAGCAAGAGAGCAAGCAGTGTGCGTTCACTCAGTCCAACATGCCATTGAGTTGTTCTCTTTTATAATCAAAATGACACCAAAAACATCTAAATAAAACATTTAAAAAAAACATTTTATTTTTAAATGTATTTAAAATCTATACTTTAATATTCAAAGAAAAGAAAATGTCTAAATAGCAAGAATGTACTTTTGATTCACTGGTCTATGAGCCATAGATGCCACTGTTATCCCAGCTCATCCCACAAATGTTTGATGAAAAGCAATTCTAGTACAATAATTAGGCTTTCCATAGGCTTATTTTGATTTGATTATTATAAAGAAGGTCTCATTGGTTCAATTGAATTTGAGGCAACAGAGCTGTATCTATGTAAATATATCATAATCCCCCAAATAACTTTATCTATTGGACCCTATCTTTTTTACATTTTAATTTAAAACAAACAGACTAAAAAAACAGCTCTAATATCTTGATCACTTGCAGCTTTAAAGAAGGAACTGAAAGAATGATAAGGTCTTCAAATGATAACTTACACTACACATAGAGAGGTGTTTTGTTAGATAAACAACTGATTACAATCCTCCATGAACTGATTAGACTTGCACTGTGATATAGATAACATAAGATCAGCAACAGACCCAGGCCCCATAACACAGTCACATCACTTAATCACTAGCTGTTTTTTCTTGCAAAACCAATTCCAATACAATCGGATATATGCTGATGCAATTTCCACATCACTACTGTATGTCAAAGTATCTTGCACATGTACAGTTACAGCACATTGTGCTATAGTGGAACTTCCATATTTGTCATGTTCACTTGTATCCTTAAACAGTTAAACATTAACAACAGTCAATTTTACCGGCACCACATTAATTGAGCTAAACAGGAAGCAAAGACGCAGAAAAATTAAAAAAGCATGGAAAAAATAAGGCCTACTACACTACAATTTGAAATAAAGGGTTCCTATGAGAAGTAACCAATGGAAAAATCAAAATTTGAAATCAGTGTGCATCTGCTTTTGTTGGACATTATGTTTAGGCTAACTGTTATTGCTTTATACTACATTGATGCAGTCTACACTGGCAGTTCACAACAGAACAGCAATGCAGCTATGCAAATATGAGTGAGCTGCCACTTTCTACAAATTGTTGGCCTGTGCTCAGTTTACACACACCACCCACACCTTGTAGGTGGCTGCCATTAAACAAGACATCATTGTAAACCGAGCAGTTGGCCTGCAGTGAGGTCTGAGCTAGAAACCAAGAGTCTGTACAACAGTCTGGCTAATATTAATATCTTTCTCCCAGATGTCTTTTAAAATCTTTTGAGTTTTTCTCAGCAAACACAAATTAGTTGCCTAATTGTATTTTATCTGATGAAAATCATCAAATTGAAATTTAGCTCTAGGCGGAGCAATATCACTTTTCTAAAGGTTTATGCAATCCACCAATTGCATTCACACTGTATCAACAATGCATTATTCACATATAAGTGTAATCAATAATTCAGTAGGTTCTTTTGATATGCCAAAACACATTAAAACTGATGTACTTTTACCATTACTGAAACTGCAGAACAGTATCACAAAGGTGTAGACATAATTTTAAATAATATAAAAGAGAAAAGTCAATTAATCTTAACATTTGTAGATTATGTTTTCCCCATATGTATTCCTTGCTTTTAAAGAAGTAGAAAAAATACACTGAGGTTAATAGCCGATAGTATCTTAATTTAATACTTGAGGTACTGAAAACGTAAAATGTTACATGCAACCATGTGCAACTATGTATACAGTATTTGTACTGTAATACTACTTATAAAACAATTTTATTTTGTATTCTAAAAAAATATTAAGAAAACAGAAAATTAGAGTTTAAATGTTTAGCAACCTTACCTACTTCTACTGTAGTTTGAGCTCATGAGACCTCAGACGCTAACTGAGGCTGGGTCTTCTCACTAGTGGGATAAACTGGAGACCTCTAAGGAAAACCAGGCTGCTTCTGTGGGTACTGTTGGTTGACCAGTTGGTGGCACTCTCCCCCACCCCAGAACGGAGTTTTCCTAAACCCCATTATAGCGCACAGAGGACAACATCATGGTCATTAAAGATCCCAAGGTGCTGTTCGTGGGAGAAGGTATTTCAGCTCTGGAGTCCTGGCTAAATTAGAATGACTGCCATGAGTCACCTGGATAGGGGTGAACAAAGTGAGTCCCTTCCTGTACAGAAAGGGCTTTGGGATCATTTGGGATGAAAAGCATTACATAAAGCAATCAAGAAATTAATTCCTCTTCAAGACAAGTCAATCAAGGCTACTTTTACCACATAACAACAGAACTCTGGCCTTTTTTCAGTTTCCAACACAAGACTCTGAACACTGCGATACGAGGCTGTAAGTGATCTCCCAGCCTAAATAATCTTTCAAACCCCATCTTAAAACATTTAGGCTCTAGTTTTTAAATTATTTACTGTATTAATTTAGGTACAGTGTAGTACCTCTCTCTTTGGTTTTATGATTTTATTGCAAAGTGCCTAGAAATAATGTACCATGAAAGGCACTATGTATAATAAATTATTTTATTATTATTAAGTTATTATTACTTTCACACAATTAAAATTTATTTTACGTCATTTACTAACCAGGTCCACAGAAGGCTGGTAGCATGTTCCAGTGTGCTATACGTGATTAGTACGCTATCATGATCTAAAAATAAAGAACTAACAATAACACAGGTCGCAATCCTGTCTTTGACTGATTAAACTAGTTCTGCTTGCTGTAAGGGTACACTGCTGCGACAGTGATAACAGCTCACTGGATTAAAAGGTAACGGAGGTAAAGCAAATTGAAGTCATATCCCATTTCCCATTTTCGGTTGGGTTAGTTGCAATATTCCAGATCTTCAATGCAAGCCTTTTAAAAGCAGCTCTGATCTCTAAATTCATATGGTTCTTCAGATTCATGCTTTTTTATGAAGTGTGGTCAACCCCATATTCAAACTGCTTATTAATTAATTCACTGTTTCACACAGTTTCATAGTCACTTAATTTGTACAGTTTGTAAAAGGCAACTGCTGTTCACAAATGGCTCTGGGAAGTAAACCTATTGCAAATGCATTTATAATAAGTAAATATTATATATATTGCCATCTTTTTTATTCACATTAAAAGCATTTTTTTTCCTGATTATCTTGCACAACTTTTGAACGTGTTTGGATTACAGATTACATTCTTTTTCGGTTTTCACACATACTGAAGTGCTCCCTATATAATAAACCCAGACTAATAGCTACAGTATATAATGAATCCTTGAAACTGCTATTCTTACTGCTTCTGTTTACTTTTGTATTAAAGGTTTTGTGGAAGGCTTGAGTAATGAACAGGTCATATGACTGCACAATATGCAACAAATGCCTTAGAATGCGAGAGTATTTTAATAGATCACTATTTTATGTGATAGAATAATACAATTAAGCCAATTAATGGATACTTGATAGTAGGAAAATGTTATTTATGCCTGTAAGTATTTATTATGAAATAGAAGTAAAAACTGAGATATCTTTCTTTTGCTGCTTAGTTGATTTACGGAATGTGATTTCAAAATGTAACCCAATGCTCTGATGCAAAGCCAAGGAGATGTACCAGTGTGATCAAAAGAATCTAAGAAGTACAACTGATGGAAAAAAAAACCCTAATCTTTGACAGCAACTATTCAGGTTTGTTTTTTATTATGAATGTGTGCAGCACCGTTCCTCCAGAAAGAATCCCTAAAATGTAAGACAAACAAATGTAATGACATTCAGTAAAATTAGGGTGTGAAAGTAATACCACATAAGTACTCTATATCACTCATTCTTCCCATCTTCTGTAACAAAACAACTTTGATCTTGTCACCTAAGTAGATTTTTAAATACATTTTGCCGATTTATTCCGCAGTATTTGGAACTGTTCACATATTTCTATATTTCTATATTTTTCATCTAAACCGAATATAATGTGCATTTGTGAAAGGTGTAGCAGCTTTGTGGGGGGTGTGGGATGTGGAGTGGCAAAGACACCTTTAACCAAATTTCTGTAGGTTGCTTTATTGGCAAACTTACAAAGCCTGAAATTTAACAAGTGTAGCCAACTAAATGTATACAGTACACAGCATACTTATTCTGTTATAGTCTAAAATGTTAAACAACTCAAGTACTTTAAACTTTCCTTTTTTTCACTAACATATGGGCAGCCTTGCTGTTAATTATGCTAAATTCAGTCTATAACTCAACGTAATGCATAACGCTTTTAAAGAACACAAGCACTTGAAACTTCACCATCAAGAGCTATTGAATGTAACGTCAGTCACACGCAATGGCACATTGACAGTTTTTTTTAGATTACAATAGTAGTTGTAAGTAGGTTATTGGAAACCGTTATGAAAGTCACATCCGTAGAAATTCTACAGTCAAGAAATACTTTCAATAGTAATCATATGCTTAATTAATACTTTTATTCCAGGTATTCACGACACTTTACTGGACTAAACGCTTGTTGAAAACGGACGAATGGATTACGTCACGGGACAACTGGTCGTAAGCAATTGTTAACTTCAAATAAAACACGGCGAAATACACATTAACCCCCTGAAGATCGCCAAAATTAAACTGGGATAGAATAACACTGTTTATTACCATACCTGTATCACAGTGACAACATGACAGGGGTTGAGGAGATAGATGACCGTCTTGGTCGCAAACTTGAACCCGACCTCCACTCCGAAAGTCAGACACAGAGCTACGAGCAACAGGTTCTTGCCCCAACTGTCCTCCTTCATCTTCTCGCCTCTCTTTGCGATCTCCTTCAGTTCTTTCGAAAGGCTGATTTTCCTTAGAGCCACAGTAATTTCTATAATGGACACCAGAATAATTACCAAGCTCTCTCCCAGGCGCTGTTTCGGGGAGAGAAACGCCGCGCATTCGGGGCCCCCGTTGCCCTCAAATTTCGGGTCCACCCCACCGTAAATCCAGTCCAGGAGGCTGTATATGTTATACCTCGACATGTTCCGCTTATCGTATTGGAAAAGGTACGAACAAGACGGGATGAAAGCTAATACATTGACTTCTTGGCGAAACATCAAAAGCAAAGTTTCCTCTGTAAAAAAATATTTTTAATTCCCAGTCAATACCACAACTGAGAAAAGAAGCTACAGGTGGAACGAAGTCAAAAGCTATACAACTGGGCAACCATCTAGTTCAGATTTAAATTTCATTGGTGACGACACAAAACGTGAGCAACTGCAGGGTTAATACTAGGTGTATCCTAATCCAAACGAATGCCACGACAAGCACTGCTCTTTATAGTAAATGACGACAGATTACGACATACGAACTCAGATTCATTTCCTTTTAAAAATGCTCCAAAATATGCAAATATGTATGTATAAGCAAAACGGTGAGAAAAATATCCAAGTGACTGAATAAAATCCTGCCAAATCGGTAAATAGCCGGTTTGTCGTAGAAATCTGCAGACCTGGCAAGAAAGCGTGTGCCACCGCGCAACCTGTCCGAGTCCCAAATTTAAAAAATGATGCTTCAAAACTCCAAAGCGGCTCTTTTATTTCACGAGCAACAGACAAAACAGGGGCCCTGCGAGTGAAATCCGATCGGAACCAGCAGGCAGCAGTTTATGTGCAACGAGGACCAGCGTGGAATTATGAAATCCAATTTAAAATGAAGAAATGGCCAACTGCAGTAAAAAAATAAAAATAAAAGAATGATTGAAGTTCAGTCTTTGTGATGCCCTGAAATCATTTTACATGTATCTCGGATAAACATGTAGACCATTTCCATTTGTCTTGACTACCGGAACACAATTTTCTGTTCAGTTTCTCTCTATCCATATTCATGAGCATCTCGGTCATGCCAAAAAGGAATCACCAGATTGGTTTACACCAGAGAGTGAATCCGCCCCTTTAAAACGTATTAACCCTTCAAACCCGAGTTTCACTGCCACTCGAGAAAGTGAAAGGGTTGTTCTTTTAATCTAGTTTGTGTGTCATGTGTTGCAATAGCTGGCTAGTACGATCAATTCTTTATGTGTGCACTGATATAATAAATTGAAAAAAAAACCCTAAAAAGATTTAGGATTAGTTACACTTCACAAGCCATATTTTCGTCATTTATTTTAGTATTGCAAGCAATTCATTTATCTTAAAAAAATATATTTAAAAAATCAGTAAGATGGTAAGTACTGCAAATTGTAAACAGTATTTGAACCATGTGATCATACAGCTATAGGTTTTTACAGGTTTGACGAAGGAACGGGTTTGCAGAAAAAAACAGGTTTATTTAATGAGATTTGTTTCACATTATGAAAGTGAATTGATATCCAAACATCACTAAATTGATGATAGTCTTGACGTCACTAATTTAATACAAACCTGTTGTCTTATTAGACAACAGACAACGTTGACACTAGGAAACAGACAACTGGGGCCCTCTTTTCAGACCGCCCCATCACCTCATATCGCTGACCATCTAATCTGCGTAACCTTCTTGTTCACAGTTCCCTTGACTGCCCTCAATAATTATCCAAACTTTCCCCTGCAACAGAGCCTGCTACATCACCCGCAAATGCATATATAACACCACACTCATTCAAGGCCCCTCAGGACAATTTCAGATCACCCAGGCGACCTCTTGAACCTCCAGTTACCTCATTTGCTGTATCTCTTGCAGGAAATGCCCAGCTATCTACGTTGGAGAAACTGGAAGGAGACTCGGAGACCACTTCAGAGAGCATGTTAGGGCTGTGAAGATCAAAGATTTCTCCTAGCCTATAGTTTCTCATTTCACCTCAGACGGCCATGATCACACTGGTCTCTTCGTCTGCGTTCGCAAAGAAGGGTTTCTCAACTCCCATAGCAGAAAGACATCAGAAACAAAAAATATCCTGAAATTTGGTTCACACCTTCCCCCATCTCTCAATGACAGACTTGTTTTGTCTCATCTTCTCTATTCACATGCAGGTTTCGACTTCACACCTCTCTTCACCTCTCTCCACTTCGCACCACCTGAGTGGCCTCTCTGCCTCTCCCCTGCTCCCGCCTCCTCCACTCTCCCAGATTTTGTTCTCCTACGGTATTTAATCTTCGCTGTCTGCCCTGTCTCTCTCCCGTTGTGTTTTCTTTCTTCTCTTTCAGCATGGAATAAACATATTGCTTGTGTCTTATTAGAATGTTGATCAGAAGGTCAGCTGTCGCTGGCGAGTTGCGAAATGAATGTGTTTTTCACAAGGAAAAGCAGGGGAAAGAAAGAGAGGCCAAAAAGAGGTGTGAAGTCAGAATGGGTGCAGAGAGGTGTGAAATGAAACTTCCAATGAATGGAGAAAATTTAAAAGAACAGTAGTCTGTCGTTTAGGGAAGGGAGAATGTATGATCCTAGCTGCAGAATAATTTTAGTTTTGGTGGTCTTTCTGATGTATGAGTTCGGAAAACCATCTTTGAGAACACAGATGGAGAGATTAGAGTGGTCGTGGCCGTCAGAGGTGAAATGAGATTTCATTAATACAAGTAGCACACTGACTATATTTATACCGCATGCACCACTTTGACAGAGTGGAAAATAAGACTATAATTCTAAAATGAGCCCGGGTTGTGAAGTGTTTTATAGCCATTAATTCAAGAACATGTGTACTAAATATTTTCTTCATTGTTTATAAAATGTATTACATAAAGGTAGAATAAAGTAGGTCATTCCCAGATTCACTAAAACAAAATCTTCAGTGTATATGTATCTCAGATAAATTTAGCTGATATTTCTGTCCTATACTGTATCATCTGGAGATACTCTTAACAGGAAAGCTAGGACAGCTGTAGAATTATGAAATATGTCTGTTTTGGAAACCATAGCTCATAATTACATTTTCCAAATCCATTTGTTTGTTTTTCAAGTCCATCTTTATGACTGGTATTTTTGTACTGCATTCAGTTTACAGAAAAACATGAACTCCTGAAACTGTTGATGAAGATGATGATGCTAGGTAAATAGGAAAAAGATAAGGTGTGAAGAGTTTTTTGCAATGGAATCTTGCGTATCAATTTATAGCATTGGCGCCGAACATTTTTTTGTAATTGGAAACAAATCTCTCATATACAAATTTGCAAGTGTTGGGTATAACACACTGCAGTTGACAATTGATTAATTGGTTTTATTAGGTTTAAATGATAATGATTTCTTGATAGAGTTTCCTTCCTTTCTGAGGCAGCAGACAGAAACAAGGTGTTTTCATGTCCTGAAAACAGTTGAACAGATGTACTCACACACTAGTGTGTCCCCTTGTCTGAAGCAGATACCAAGTTATTTAATTGCCTCTGCAAGGATTGTTTAAATAATTTATAGCTTATGCTTAGGTGAAATATCATGTGGCTATAATGTAGACTATACTAAATGTCCAGATGTCATAACACACTCATTTGCTTCAGACACAGAAGAGCAGTTCCTTTTAGATTCATTCGTTCATTCAATCCTAAGATAGAGTCCTAGATAGATGGGAAGTGCAATTTAAGTCTTTAATTAGGCTTCAGGCTGGAAAAACAAGGTCATCTGCTACCCTGAAAATCTGTTTGATGTTGGGACCATGGAATTGAGCAACGTTATTATAATTTCAGACATGGCCGAAAGAAAATATGGAGGAATCCCACTTCTGTCAAAACATTTATTTAGATTTTAAATAAATGTGGGTGAAGAAGAAATGTTGAGAAAGATAGTTTTATAATATTACAAAAGTGCTGCTTTTCTAACGTCTGCAGTCAACAGGTTGAGTTGTGCAGCTCTGAAATTGTCTTCATGTATATGTTAAGTGGAATGACAACTGCACCACCTGGTGATGAATCTTCAGTAAAGCTACTATTCCACAAAGTTCCAGAATGAGCAATTAAGCAGCTAAATTGACTTACAATGACTGAATTTACAATACTGGCAATTGCTAAGAGCTTATTTGAGAAAAGATTCCCTCGCAAAAATGTCCAGACTTTACAGTTTATGTATGGTTCTAAGAAATAATGAAAAAGAAAAGAGATGGCCACCCTGTATTAATTAACATTTTTAATTATATATAAACATGTACATAATTCTCTATTCATTTACAGGTTTCGACTTCACACCTCTCTTCACGTCTTTCATCTTTGCACCACCTGAGTGCCCACTCTGCTTCCCCCTGCTCCTGCCTGCTTCCCGCCTCCTCTACACTCCCAGCTTTTGTTCTCCAGTGCTATCAGCTGCTGACTTCCCTCTCTCTCACACCCAAAAAAGGCTCCACAGCCAAAACGTTGTGTTTCTTTTCTTCTCTTTTCAGCATGGAATGAATCTGTACTTGTTCCTTTGCAGCCTTCGCATGCTGACGTAGTTACCTACTTGAACAATGTATAAACATGGTTAACATTTTTAACAATATGCTTATTATTTTTCCTTTTCCTTTTTTCAGAATTATCTGCCTTTCTGAAGCAAACAGACAAGTCAGGCAATGTGTACTGGTTTGAATGAGAAACGTGGATTCTGGTAGATGTGAGTTGTTCACATATGATATGAAGACAAAAACATGTGTGAGTGGGAATTAGCAATTAATTCATTTGAAAGTTTGAAAAAAAACAGTTTTGTAGAATGTGGTAGATTAAAATTAGAACTGAAGTAAAAGGGTTAATGAGGTCAATTCAACAGCCCTACACCGTTTGTGACACCTACTGTGGTGAGAGTGATTCTTCATTTGAAGAGCAATAATTGAGAGATCACTCTCTTCTGGTTCATGGGTTCTATTTTTATCCTTTTAGATCTGGAGATATTCAAGCTAAAGCCCAAACAGTTAAGTCTTTGTGTAAACAGAGAAAAATCAAGTGCAGCACATCAGGTATATTAGGCGGACAGAATCTTTGTTTCATCTACTAAATAATTCAGACAACTATTTTTCTAATGTTATTAGTGCGTGCCTTGCACTCCTTTTTTATTACAGGGATTAGTGTTTTTGGCTCCATCTGTTGGTTTGTTTTAATCAAAGTTAAAAATATAATACAATTGCAAAGCTTAAATAGGGCACAAGCCAGTGTATTGGGTCACAATAGCTCAGATCCTGTTACGGAAGGTGATGTCAGCCCCATGGAATGTAGATAGCACTGAAAAGCCATGTGGAGAGAAACCCATGACAGTTTGCAGAGATTAACTTTGACAATTTCCACCAGTTCTATGCTCAAAATATTCTGAATGTTTAAAATACATGGAACAAAAGAATTTAAGAGAATTCCCCAAAGGTTGAAGACTGAAATAGACTACTTAAGTATTTCCCCTAAGCTAGTTAATGTTGCATAAAATAGCTTAAGGGGAAACTTAAATGAAATCACTTACAGGTTCACCTGATATCCTTAAGACCCTGTAAAAAAACAAAACAAAGACCTATGCTTCTTAAGCAGCGACAGTTCTTACAAATTTAAGAGCAGAATGGAGTCACACTTCATTAAAGGAGCTTCAGAAACAGAGAAAATCATCTGGGTACAATGGATTATAAGATATACAATACAATGAAATCATATTAGCACATATTTTTGTAATAATTAGAGAATAAAAGTAAAACAAATCCCTGGGAATGAAATATGTTTTATTGATGAGAAGTTCTTTAATCTAGGAAGTAATCTGACTCTTAATAGTTTTGCAAGTCCAAAGAACAGCATCAAATCACTCCTTATGTGACTGAAACTGAAGCATAGCCTTAGTTCGGTGGTCTGTCAAACAAGAACCTAACCAAAGAAAAAGGAGAACATATGTCATTACAAGATTTAAGACAAAGCTGAAAGCAATATTAGCTCTCATAATATGGCAATGCAAAGACTTATAAGTAGTATAAGTATTAGTGACTACTACTACTCAGTACTAGGCTATTACAAAATACTTATATATGAAGGTGAGTTAATATTTACTATAAATTTGTGTTTACAGTATTAAATTATCCATAAATATACTTCAAATGCCGGAAATACAGCCTTCTTCTGTATTTGTGAAGTGTATGAGTCAGATAATTTATTGACTTGCACTCGTTCAATTAATTGTACAACTGCATCGTGATAAATGTGCGCCCTGCAAAGTTTAAATTTGGTAAAGAGAAGTTCAAGGTTAGTTCTATGCTGAAAAGGTAAAAGAAAGAATAAAGAACCATATTTCTGTTCAGGTGCCATTTCAAGTGTGTGGAGGCAGGAGGGCGAGAGTAGGAATGTCAGGTAAGAGCTGTGGAGTAAGAAGACAAAATAAAGTTTTAAAAAGGGCTAGGTTAGGTGATACTTTATCCATAAAGTATGGATACGAATGAAAACATTGTTAACGTTGCCGTGCAGTAACACCAGAGGGCACTAACAACACTGGTGTCTTGCACGTTTTCTATACTAGAAGGTACAGTACAGAGATACAATGCTTTCTGGTGTGTTTCATTTCATACCAAAACATAGCACCCTGAATAGTGCATATATGTATAAAATCAGAAAATCTGATGAAGGACAGCAAGATTCACGCAACATATTGATCCATATTTCAAAGTATGAGGGCACGACTGCAAATATGATAAAAAGCCCATTTTACTACAATACAAGTGGAGGGAAGATAGTGGGATCGTCAAGTATTGGCTTAATGCTTAATTGCTTCATATATCAAAAAAGGATTAGCACTGATGGGCTGAGTGGCTTGTCTTTGTCATTAACATTTCTTTAATGTTCTTAAAAATATTGAAGTCTTGAAAAAAAGTCGTAATTTTTGGTCCTCAGATGATAACGATATTTACACAGCACAAAATACAATTTATAGATTCATACTAGATATGTAATAACCGTGTTTATGATGGTGGTTGCATCTTGCCTTATGTTTGTAAGTGTTTGCTCAACCGTGTAAGTTTAAGAGGATTCTAAAGTATTCCAAAGCAAATTGAAAGAGCTCTGGAATTTCCTACAAAATAGACTACAGCTATTAGCTCCACCCTAAGTGCTCCTGGAAACCCATAATAAACAAATTTAGTACAAAGCTTCCGGATCTAAAGCCAAGGTCCACACTGGATCAAAACAAAACTGGGAATGAGAGGATTAACGAGTGTTCTTTTATATTATAGTGGAAATTGTACCACATTCCCACTGGACTTGTATCTTTGTTATGAGCTAGTACAAAAGTATTCAAAAATAAGGTGATAAAACAGGTCTGTTTTAACAGATATCATGCTGGTAAAAAAAACACATTTTAATTCATCACAAAAAAACCCCAATGGGAACAAGCTGTGAAAACATTGTCCAAAACCTTGACAGCGAGCAGAGTGGAAAAAAGAAATCACAAAAACAAGGCTGCTGCCAAATTCAATATACTCTCAAAATGTACTGTATAACGGTACACAAAGAACTCGTCTAGTTTTTGTGTAAGGAAACATCAGGCTTCTCCTTTTGGTGAAGGAGATGCTCAGTAAAGTAAATATTGACCTCTTAGCGAAGGGGAAAGTGGAGCTCAATTGGTTCAACTAAAATAGTGAATATGCACATTGACATCTTGACATGAGTCCCCATTAATTTTTATATTACACTTAAAACAGATTTGAATTTCAACTATTCTGTAACCACAAAATTAGGAAACCTAGTGTGTTTGGAACTGCATTGAGTTGATGTTGGCCAATTAATGTTGTCTGGAAAAGAGAAAGCAATAAAACAGTAGTCCTTAATGTTTTGTGCCAAAACAGCCAGAGAGTGCTTAAAAACATTATATAGCAGACACAAGGGAAATCTAGTAAGGACAGATACTTTTAAGTATATTAACACAAATTGGTTCTCTTTCTCACATTTATATTGGTTCTCTAAATGCTTATTTTAGGCCAGCCGGAGCATGATGCTGACCACATCACCTCCACTTCCAGTGTCGGATGGTCAAGACAAATGGTGGCCCTTGCCCCCCCATTCACCATGGGCCTTCATGACCTGAAATAGGACCTACCTACCTAAATGCTTATTTTAATTTGACAAAAGTTATATAGACAGCATTTAGAGAATCCCCATTTCACTTAAAAAATGTAAAAATATTAACATGGTCAGCATTGAATGGTTACCACTTACGTTAGGCAGCATAGCCCTGTGATTACTACGAAGTAGACTGGAACTGCAAAAACAGCAG